CACCGCGTGGGGAGGGAGCCCAGTCACCCCTTATTTAACACCCCCTTCCCCACCAGCCAGCCCATGGAGTCATTAGCTGCGAGAGGGCAAAGCCTTGTGGGAGTAGCGGGGCCAGTTTTCAAGCTGAAGCGAGCCGAGGCCCCAGGTCTGAAGGCAGAGCAGGACATCGGGCCAACTCATGAGCCGAAGCAGGCTGACGCCTCGCGCAAGTTGATGCCTCCGCAGAAGCAGTAGGCCAGAGCCTCATTCGAGTTGGGCCCAGAGTTGTTCCAGAGCCTCGGTGGAGTCGGGCCAACGAACAACAGAGCTCGGAAATGGAGCCCGGACTCGTTAGCTGCAGCAGGCTGGAGCCCGGCGGGGAGTTGGGCTCAGGCTCGTTAGCCAAGCAAGGCTGGAGCATTGGCGCAACAGACCCAAAGTCATTAGCCGGAGCCTTTTTCACCTCAGTTTTCACAGGCAAGTTCAGATCCCAGAGGGCTGCACTGGGTAGCATCATTTGGGGAGGGGGGGAGTAGCCCTCAGGGTTGAAAGAAAAAGCTAGGGACTAGAGAAGCTGGACATGTACAAGTCAATAGGGCCGGATGGGATGCACCCAAGGGTGCTGAGAGAGTTGGCCAATGTGATTGCAGAGTGGCTGGACATGGTGGTCCCAGGGGAGGTCCCAGGTCATTGGAAAAGGGCAAATCTAGTGCCCATCTTTAAGAAAGGGAAGGAGGATCCAGGGAGCTACAGACCAGTCAGCTTCACTTCGGCCCTTGGAAAAATCATGCAGTAGATCCTCAAGGAATCCATTTCTAAGCACTTGGAGGAGAAGGAGGTGATTAGGAACAGTCAGCATGGAGTCACCATACCTGACCAACTTCATTGCATTCTCTAATGAGATGACTGGCTCTGTGGGTGTGAGGAGACCAGTGGATGTGGTGTACCTTGCTTTAGCAAGTCTTTGGATACAGTCTTCCACTACATTCTTGCAAGCAAGGTAAGGAAGTCTGGGTTGGATGAATGGACTGTAAGGTGGATAGAAAACTGGCTGGAGCATCGGGCTTAGAGTAGTAATGAGTGGCTTAATGTCTAGTTGACAGCCGGTATCAAGTGGAGTGTCCCAGGGGTTGGTCCTGGGGCCCGTTTTGTTCACTATCTTTATGACTTGGAAGATGACACAGAGTGCACCCTCAGCAAGTTTGCAAGTGACACCAAGCTGGGGGGAGTAGCAGATACGCTGGAGGGCAGGCCTAGGATTCAGAGTGACCTTGAAAAATTGGAGGACTGGGCCACAAGGAATCTCAGGAAGTTCAACAAGGACAAGTACAAAGCCCTCCACTTAGGACAGGACAATTCCATGTACCAGGACATGCTGGGGGCTGACGGACTGAGCAGCAGCTCTGCAGAAAAGAACCTGGGGGCAACAGGGGACAAGAAGCTTAATTGGCACCAAGAGTGTGCCCTAGTTGCCAAACCTGTACCTGTAAACTGTAATGCAGTTTAATTGCAAAAATGGGCAATTTTTGTCACATGTACAAACGCCCAAAAAGGCTAATGGCATCCCGGGGCTGCATTGGTAGGAGAGTTGCCAGGAGGTCAAAGGCAGTGATTCTTCCCCTCTATTTGGCACTGGGGAGGCCACATCAGGAGTCGTGTGTTCAGTTCTGGACCCCCTACTACAGAAAGGATTGAAGAGAGTCCAGGGGCTGGGGAACAGGACAGATGAGGAGAGGCTGAGGGAACTGGGCTCATTGAGCCTGGAGAACAAAAGACAGGAGGATTTAATAGCAGCCATTAATTACCCGAAGGGTAGTTGCCAAGAGGATGGAGCTGGACTGTTCCCAGTGGTGGCAGATGGCAGGACAAGGAGCAATGGGCTCAAGCTGCAGCAAGGGAAGTCGAGGTTGGATATTAGGAAAAAATAATAGGAAGATAATTATTAGGAAGATAATAAAGCACTAGAACAGACTAACCAGAGAGGTGGTGGGCTCTCCATCCTTGGAGGTGTTGAAACCCCAGCTAGACAAAGCCTTGGTTGGGATGATGTAGCTGGGGCTGGTCCTGCTTCGAGCAGGGGGTTGGTCTAGATGTGGCCTCCTGAGGGCCCTTCCCGCCTTCACTCTCTGTGATTCTGTGGTTTTAAGTTGGGCCCAAAGTCATTAGCCAGAATAGGCCGAAACATCGTGGAGGTCAATACCTCCTCAGAAGCAGCGTTGGGTCGCAGCCTAATGGCAGTCAGGGCCCATCAATTCCTTGGGTTCTCCAAACTCTGTACTGATGACCATCCACCTCCCTCTTGTGGCTGAAGAGGAAGGCTCAGGTGGATGATCCCTCGACCTCGACCTTGTCCCTGTTGCCCACCTGGTCCTCCCTGCCTCCGTGCAGGCAGTAGCAGAGGGGTGCCATGGCATGCAGCCGCTTCCCCAGCACAAGCCAGGACCCCACCAGGGCCTTCTGGACAGCAGAGGAGGAGAAGTAGAAGATGACAGGGTCCAAGGAGGCATTCAAGGTGCTGAGGAGCAGGGCGTAGACCCGCCACTGGATGCTCTTGTTCTCCACAAAGCCCACCACATGAGAGATGTTGTAGGGGGCGAAGCACACCATGAAGTTGGCCAAGGTGGCCAAGGCTAACCCCACTGCCCGGCACTTCTTCCGCCGCGGGATGTTGGGCAGGGCCAGGAGGATCCGCACAAAGTTGACGTAGCAGAAGAGGGTGACTGTGAACGGGAGGCAGAAGAGGACAAGGAAGACCTCCAGGCGGACAGGTAACACCACCTGCAGCTGTTCTGTAGTGAAGTCCTCGTAGCACCGGGAGACATTGGCACGGGTGATGTTGGTGCCAGGTGTCTGCACCTCAGAGATGAAGACGATCCCGCTGTGTGCGCCAGCCAGCACCCAGACAGCCACACTGGTCACCATGGCATAGGCCGGCCGCCGCCGCAGCTTGTACTGCACCGGGAAGGCTACGCCCAGGTAGCGCTCCACACTGACGGCCGTGAGGAGGAAGGTGCTCGTATAGATGCTGCTGTAGTAGAAGTAGTTGGTCAGGGTGCAAAGGAAACCTGGCAGTGGCCAGTTCATGTCAGCAGCTGCCTCAGCCATCTTAAAGGGGAGGAAGAGGAGGAGGAGGAGGTCGGACACGGTGAGGTTGAGCAGCAGCACGGCCACGGGGTTGGACTGGTGCTGGATCTGGCGCATGAAGGTGACGAAGGCAAAGAGGTTGGCAGGCAGCCCCGTGAGGAAGGTGAAGATGTAGACGAAGAGGACCAGTGACTTGAAGGGGAAGGCCATTGCCTGTGGGGTCTGGGGGGGAAAAGGAGGGAGGCCATGAGGGGACCTCGGCATCCCAGAGCGTGTGCTCCCAACCTGACAACCATCCACCACAGCTTGATAGGATCCAGGCACCTGGGCTCTCAGGCTCTGATGCCCCCACTCCTTCCCTGGAGCTAGGAGAGAACCCAGGTGTGTGGGCTGCCAGCCCTGCCTGCCCCACAGCGGGCATTTACCCAGCGCTGAACAATTTGATTTACATGTGCTTCCAACTTGGCCCGTGACAGAAGCAATGGAATCACGGAGGGCCATGTCTGGGGTCTGTCTTGCGGGGTTAGTGAAGGTGGGGCTGGGAGCCCAGATGCCTGCATACCCTTCCAATCAAGGGGAAGGGGGATGTATGATGTGGTTAGAGATTGGGTGGGGTGGAGGAGCTCGGATGCCCTGGTTCGCCTGGGTTCTTTTCGCAAAGGCGGCTCTTGCATGTCAGGACCCACCTCCACTTCCCGATCTGGGGGAAGCGAAACCAGTTCCCCTTCCACAGAACCAGGGTGGCTCTGATGTGGGTGTCCACGGCTGGCAGGGCGGGGAGGGCACCTGGATGCCAGAATTGGGCCCCTGCTGCCCCCAGCTTCACGTCCAGCAGGGTGCCACCTGCCCCCAGTCCCCTCCCAGGGCTGGGGAGATCCCAGGAGTCTGGGCTCCCATCCCCCTGCTGTTCTAACCCATTGGACCCTGCTCCCCTCCCACAGCTGGGGTGGAACCTAGGCATCCAGGCTCCCAGCCCCTCCTGCTCTCATCCCCCCCTGCACCCCACCCTGCCCTGTCCGCTGAGCTCCTGTCATGGTTTTATTTCCTGGGTTTACCAGTTATCTGCAGCACAAAGGAGCTTTGCATAGAGCTAGGGGCAAGGAGAGAACCCAGGCATCCGGCCCCAGCCTAGCTCTGCTGGAGAGGGGGCAGAGGTGGGCAATTGTGGCCAGTTCTCAGCTCCCTGGCTGTAACCATCAGTCCCCACTGCCCTCACAGCACCAGAGAGAACCCAGGCATCCTGGTTCCCACATCTAACTGCCCAGACCCCTCTCCCCTCCCAGAGCTGGAGAGAACCCAGGCATCCGGGCTGTCCACTCCCACCCTAAATTTCATAGCCCGCTCCAGTCCCCACCTGCTCTCTGCTGCCTGTAGCGGCTCCAGCCCAGGAGTCCAAGACGTGACAGACAGCTGAGTTCCTGTGTGGGAGTGAGGCTCCCAGGAGAAAACAGCGAATAAATAGTGTCCCCTCCCCCAGGAGGAAATTCCTCCCCCCACCCCTGTAGGACACCTGGGTTCTCTCCCGGCTCTGGGAAGGCATTGCAGCCTGATGGGGCCAGAGCTGGAGAGGCCGAGGAGTCCGGGCATCTGGGTTCTCTCCAGTTGTGGGAGGGGAGTGGGGGCTGGGGGGTTATAGTGGGGGATGAGAGCCTGGACAACTGGGTTCTCTCCAGCTCTGGGAGAGGAGTGGGGTTTGATGGGTTAGAGTAGGGGGGGGCTGGGAGCCCAAACGCCTGAGTCAATCCTCTCAGCTGTTGCAGTGTCTCCTTGCCCCCCCAGCTCCCTGTGGACCCTGACAGAAACTCGGGGGGATGGGGTGCAGTCAGCAAAAAAATAGTCCAGGGACCCAGTCCCCAGTGGGTGGAGACTGGAGTCAGCCCAATCAGGTCACCAAGGCCAAGTCCCAAGAGCAGGAAGAGAACCCAGGTGTCATCTGGGCTCCCGATCCCCACCCCCTGCTCTTATCCTCCCACAGTCCGCACTCACTTTCCCAATCTACTCTAGAATCCAGGTGGTCTGGCTGCCTGCCCCTCTGCCCTCTCCCAGGGCTGAGGATGGACCCAGGCATCTGGGTCCCCCTCTGCCACCCGCTCCTCTCAGCCCTGAGTAATCCCTCCAAAAAAGTCTCACAAAAGCCAGTTTAATAAATAAATCCCAGTTTATTGCCGCTCTCCCACCCTGTGGTTCTCGCTGTCACCACCAGAGGGTGCCAGGCACCTCCACAAGGGGATGCCTACTAGGGTACAGGGCCTGGCAGCCATTTTTGTAGGCGCCATGGAAAATCTCAGCACAGGACCCTGCCCACTCTGTGTCCCCCCCCCCCATCCCGGGGAACAGTGTCCTGTCTGTTCTCAGGAAAAGAGCCAAGGCATCCAGGCTCCCAGTCCCCACTTTTTTTACCCATCAGAACCCTCTCAGAGTTGGGAGAGAACCCAGGTGTCCGGATTTCTGCCCAGTCCCATCCTGTTCCCAGAGTGGTCTCTAACATGCCCCAGCCCCAGTGTCACCAGCCCATGGCTGGCTTCTCCACTGTCTGGGCTGGTTTCCTCTCCCCCATCAGAGTAGGGGGTGAGGTTGAAGGAGTCATAGAGGGAGACAGAAAGTCCAGGAGCAGTAATGAGGCTCATTAAGCTGGCCTTGAGCCAGGTTTAATCGCAAGGCAGGAGATGGGGTTGGGCACAGTGGGCCAAAGCCTGCAGGTGCCAATGGCTTTGCTTAGCATCATGAAGCAGGCTGGAGCCCTTTGGTAGCTGGATGCCATCTTGGGAGCAGGATTAGGCTGGAGTCTTATAAGAGTTGGATGCCAGGTTGGAAGCAGGAGTAGGCCAAGGCCGTGAGGGAGTTGGCCACTATCTTGGGAACAGGAGTAGGCCAAAGTCGTGTGGGAGTCGGATGCCTTCTGGGAAGCAGGAGTAGGCTGGAGCCTAGTAGGAGTTGGGTGCCAGGTTGGAAGGAGGAGTAGGCCAGAGCCTGGTGAGAGTCAGGAGCCGTGCTGGAAGTGGGAGCAAGCCAAAGCCTTGTAGGAGTTGGCTGCCATCTTGGTTGCAGGACTCAGGCACCAACTCCCCCCTACGAATCTGATGATGCCTAAGAGAAGAACCCCTGAAGCTGACGTCGTAGAAGATGATGAAAGCAGCCGGGAGGCAGAAGAAGATGAAGGAGAGCTCCAGCGGGATAGGCAGCACCACATGGAGCTGGTCCTGGGAGAAGTTGTCATAGCACCTCCATGCTGCCCATATTAGTGCCTGATGAAGACGATGCTGCAGTGGGTGCAGGCCAGCACCCAGGAGGCTGTGCTGGCTGTCACGTTGTAGGTCAGCCACTGCTGCAGCTTGTACAACACTGGGAAGGCCACACTGAGGTAGCGGTCTACCCCCAGCACTGTGGGGAAAAGGATGCTGAGGTAGATGCAGCTGTAGTAGCAGATGCTGGTGTTAGGGCACAGAATGGCAGGCAGCTGCCAGGTCATGTTGATGCCTGCCTTGGCCATCTTGAAAGGGAGGAGGAGGTCAAACACTGAGCCTGAGCACCAGCACAGTGCTGAGGCCGGCACCAGTCCTGGTGTAGAAAGGTCACCAGGGCCAGGATGTAGACAGCCAGGACCACACGGGTCTTGATGTGCGCACTGGGCTCCACAACAGCCTCTGTGGGGAGGGGATTAACGGGTCAGGTATCTGGGCGGGCGGCCTTTGGAGGCCCTGTGGCCCACCCGGAGAAACCAGGCATCCAAGGGGTCTGCCAGGACACATCCCACACCTCTCCAGGAACTTTGATGGAACCCAGGCATTCGGGCTTCCAACCCATCTGGCTCTAAGGCAATACACATCCCTCCATTCCCAGAGCTGGGGAGGAACCCAGGCATTCGGGCCAAGACCGCAGGCGTCCGGGTCGTTAGGTGTCAGGGAGCTCTGCCTTGCAGAGCGTGGATGGAACACAGGTGTCCAGGCTCGCAGTCTCCCCTACTGTGTCCCATCAGGCCTCACTCCCCTTCCAGAGCAGGCAGAGAACCCAGGAGTCCGGGCTTCCAGCCCCCCTGCTCTGACCCTCCCTGGCCCCCTTCTCTCCTCCCAGAGAGGGGAGAGAACCTAGGCATCCCCAGCTCATCATGAATTAGCTCAGGAGACCAGTCGAGGGGCTGGGTGAATTCCCACTGTTCTGAATTTTATCCTTGGATACAGCAGGGGTTCAGGGTGGGGGGCAGGAGAATGCACGTCACCTCTCACCAGGGCACCTCTTCCCCACCGCACAGAGCCACAGAGGCCACACACACAGCCCTGCCCTGGAGTGAGTCGCCCTGGCCAGCTGCGGGGTGGGATAACAGCCCCACTACTAATGCAGGGCCCCTTGGGTTGAGTCCTGAGCTGTGCCATTGGGTCAAGATAACAGTATTACTACTCACTGGCGACGTGTCGGCCAATGAGTGCATGCAGGTGCATGTGCCCCCCCTGAGACTGGCTGTGCACCCCCTGGAAGCGCCAGCTCTGAAACCAGTGGTGCTGGTGGAAGTGCAGTGCTGGTTTCGTCTCTGGTTGGGCAATGAGCCACTGGGGACCCCCCCCCATCAGTGATCTGGTGCCCCCCTCCAGACTCGGGAGGCACCAGTTGCCCATGTTACTACCACTGCCTTCCAGGCCAGCTGAGCAGCCAGGCCCAGACCCCCAGGAGGTCGGTACAGAGGGCTGGTGGTAGAGATGGAGGGATCTTGTGTTGAGGTCTGAGCCCTCCCATCATCTTCCCTGATCCGTGTCTGTCCTGGGGTTCCTGTGTCAGGCACAAACTTCCTGTCCCTGAGGTAGCTGCGTCCCCAAGGAGTTGGAGGGCAGGGGGAGGGGGGCCGCATCATAGACACCCCCACAGCTGAGGTAAGATGGAGGTCAGGGGAAGCCAAGCCCACAAGGACAAGCCAGAGCCTTGTGGGAGTTGGGCCCACAGTCATTAGTCGGAGTAGGCTGAAGCCTTGTGGGAGTAGTGGGGCCAATTTACAATCTGAAGTGAGTCGGGGCCCCAGGTCTGAAGGCAGAGCAGGAAATTCAGTCAACTCACAAGCCGAAGTAGGCCAAAGGCTCACAGAATGAAGCGGGGGCCTGGTGGAAATGGGAGCCCAGACCCATTAGCTACAGCAGGCCGGAGCCTTGGTAGAGTCAGGCCCAAGCTCATTAGCCAAGCTAAGCCAGAGCAGCAGACCCAAAGTCATTACCCAGAGTCAGCCA